GCTAAGTGCCCCTATTCCTCCAGCAGGAGCGATTGTGGGGATTCCATTCAGCTCCGCCGTTCCCAAATAGCAATTCTCCTTCAGCCATGGTGGGAGCAGACGGGCTGGAAGCTGAAGAGGTTTCCCTTGGAGTAGGCTTTGCTTCGCTTTCTGCTGACCTCAGTCTCTTGGATTGTGGCCAGCTTTCCTCTTCCATTTCCCTGAATGCTGAGCAGTGTCGGGTGTGTGGGGAAGCGAAATTCACCCCAGAACTTTTCTCCAGGGTTCCCTTCACTGTGCAGAAGGAAGGAGGGAGGGGGGAACATGTACTAATAAAGGGACAGTTCTCTGAATGGAGAGAAGCAGAAAGTGGAGTCCCCTCAAGATCAGTATTGGGACCTGTGGCTTTTCAACTTGTTCATAAATGATCTAGAGTTAGGAGGGAGCAGGGAGGGGGCAAAGTTTGCTGATGGAAGCAAATTGTCCAGGGTTGTTCAAACAAAGAGAGATTGCAAGGAGCTCCAAAAGGACCTCTCCAAATGGGGTGAATGGGCAGAAAATACAGTTCATTGTCAATGAGATTAAAATGATGCATGTTGGGACAAAAAACCAAACAACTGTTAATATCATGTACATGGTCATGGGGTCTGAACAGGGTTTCTTTGTGTGCTCTAGACCAGGGGAGATGGGAGATGGTTGCAGCAGGAGGGGGAGTCTCCCTGGATGCTTCAGCAGCCGGCCTCCTCTGGGTCTCTTGGCCCTCTCCTCTCCTCCCTCTGAGTCTGAACTGCTCTCTGCCCCAGCCTATTCCTGCTCACCAAACCCTGTTTCCTCCTCAGCTAGCAACACCTCCCCTCCCGGTCTGCTCCCCTTTCTCCCTCTATCTGCTCATCGCCATCCCACCACAAGTCCCCAGGATCTCAGCCTTCTTCCCTTTTAGGTCCCCCAACTGGTGCCTCCCCCCCCGGCACCCAGCTGTTCCATGACAGCAAAAGCAGAAACAACAGTAAAATCAGTATGATAGCAATATGAACTGTGGGCCTCTGGTAGGAAAACTCCCTAGCAGCATGACTGAATAAAAACTTCTGGGACTATGGAAAAATACTACCTTCCCCAAACCCCAGAATAAGCAGGAGCTCTGGGGTTGCCCCATGGGGTTCAAGAGTGAAGATGGGCCCTTCAGGACACTTCCTGGTCCCTGCAGCCCCTCCGTTCCCCTCTTACAATTAGGCTTGGGGGGAAATCACCCATTAACTTACAGTATTATCAGTTTTCTTCAGAATGCTGAGGAGGCAGTGATGAATTTCTGGTGAAGAATCAGTGCTTGGAGATCATGCGGTGGGGGGGGGGATGACAGAGTTTGGTGCAAAAACTGTCTTGCATGCTTGAGTAGAGCAACTCCAGGGCATGGGCCAAGTAGCAGCAGGGTAGGGGCCACGTGCAGAGCAAGTCCCACACTGAGGTCAAAAACACACACAGAGGCAGCAGGACTTCTTCAGTAATAGTTTACTGAGCTTTCAAAGCATACAGTTCTCACTGGGTCCCCAGTGAGGCACAAAACTTAGCTCCTGAGAGCAAATCCAGTTTCAGCAATAGAAAAATACAGCACACAGGATGTCTAAGTCAGGCACACAAACCGGCAGAAGGGAGCAAAGGGAGGAAAGAGGCTGGAAGGACACAGGGCAATGGAGGTTTGTCTTTCGCTTCCTGTCGTCTGGGAGGGAAGTCAGCAACTCGGCATCTGCAGGGGCTTCACGAAGAAAAGCTTTCTGCCGGCTGCTTCCAGGCAAATGAGCATCCCAAAAACACAAACTGTGATCTGTGGTGTGTTGCCATATCAATTGTTTTTGAAAAGTTATCACAATGTCGTCTAGAAACCGGTATAGGATGAGATTAATAGATCGCCCAGCCCTAATCCTCACTCACCACCAGAAATCCAGATTCACCAACTCCCCCTCACTATCAAAAGGTACCTTACATCTAAAATTATACTCACTAGTGTGAGACATTACCTTCATTATTTCATTACTATACAATTTTACATATAAACACCAGAACATGACATGCTTTTAAGATGGATTTCCTGCTGAGTTGAGTTCATTGCTGTGAAGAAAAGAGTGGACTCTGAAAGGAACACGTTCCTCACTCTATACATCTAAATGGGTTCTCCCCTCTGAGTCCTTAGATGTTCCTTAAACACTCCATTATAACTAAAGCACTTTCTGCAATCTTTCCCTTTAAACAGCTTCTCCTCTTTGAGGGTTGATGGGTTTGTAGGGTGTCAACTGTTAAAATTCTTCCTGTCCATGAGTCTGTTGATGTAGGACTTCCACTAGGACTGAACCTCTGTCTACTTGACATTTATATGGTTTCTCTCATGTGGGAGTTTGTTGATGTAAACCAAGGGTTCCACTCGGACTGAAGCTCCTTCCAAACTCCATACATTTAAATGGTTTCTTCCCTGTGTGTCCGTTGATGTTTTCTAAGATTTCCCCTTTGACTGAAGTTTTTTCCGCACTTCATGCATTTAAATGGTTTTTCCCCTGTGTGAGTCCGCTGATGTCTTCTAAAGCTTGCATTGAAACTGAAACTCTTTGTATTGGGAAAACTACAAGTGAATATAAACACTAAAGCAGTTCTGATATTTGTGGATGCGGAGAAAGCTTTTGACAATATCTCTTGGAGTTTCATGAAGAAGAACCTACAGGGGATGGGGGTAGGCCAAGGTTTTGAAAATGGTATAGGTGCAATATACTCTGAACAAAAGGCTAAATTAATTGTAAATAATGTGGTGACGGAAGAATTTAAGATAGAAAAAGGGACACGACAGGGGTGCCCAATCTCCCCACTGCTTTTCATATCGGTCCTGGAGGTTCTGCTGAATATGATTAGAAGGGACCGGTTGGTTAAAGGTATACAAGTCGGAGCCAAACAGTACAAACTGAGAGCATTTGCAGATGACTTAGTATTGACGTTAAAGGAGCCAGAATCTAGTGCTAAAAGGGTTTTAGAATTAATTCAAGAATTTGGTCAAGTGGCAGGATATAAACTGAACAAGCTAAAAACTAAGGTTTTAGAGAAAAATTGAACACCGATTGAAAGAGAGAGGTTTCAGAATGAGACAGGCCTGACTGTGGTTAAGAAAGTGAAATACTTGTGGATTAATATGACAGCCAAAAATGGGAACTTATTTAAAGATAATTACGAAACATGTTGGACAGAAGTGAAAAAAGATTTAGAAATTTGGTCAAATTTGAAGCTTTCACTGTTGTGTCGTATTGCTCTGATAAAAATGAATGTATTGCCTAGAATGTTGTTTTTGTTTCAGACATTGCAAACTGTGGACAAGATGGACTGTTTCAAGAAGTGGCAGAGAGTTATCTCTAGATTTGTCTGGCAGGGCAAGAAGCCCAGAATAAAATTTAAGATATTAACTGATGCAAAGGAAAGAGGTGGATTTGCCCTGCCAGACTTTAAACTTTACTATGAATCAGCAGCTTTTTGCTGGTTGAAAGAATGGCTACTTCTTGAAAATACAGACATTTTGGATCCAGAAGGCTTTAACAACGTATTTGGATGGCATGCATATTTATGGTATGATAAGGTCAAAGCACATAAAGCATTCAAAAATCATATTGTCAGGAGAGCATTGTTTAATGTTTGGATAAGATACAAGGATTTATTGGAAAATAAAACCCCAAGGTGGTTGTCACCGATGGAAGCGAAAGCTCTGAAAAGGCTCAATATGGAGGCCAAATGGCTGAAATATTGGGAAATTTTGGAACAAGAAGGAGATAGACTGAAACTGCAGAGTTTTGAGAAATTAAAAAACAAAGTGTGAGACTGGCTTCATTATTATCAGATAATGGAGGCATATAATTTGGATAAGAAAATTGGCTTCCAGGCGGAAAAATCAAAATTAGAAACAGAACTCTTAGAACCCAAAACTAAGATTTTGTCAAAGATGTATAACTTGCTGTTGAAATGGAATACTCAGGATGAAACGGTGAAATCTGCTATGATTAAGTGGGCACAAGATGTTGGACATAATATTATGTTTGCTGACTGGGAACAGTTATGGACCACAGGTATGAAGTTTACGGCATGTAATGCCCTAAGAGAGAATATTATGAAAATGATATACAGGTGGTACATGACCCCAGTCAAGCTTGCAAAAATTTATCATTTGCCCGATAATAAATGCTGGAAATGTAAAGAAACTGAAGGTACATTCTTTCACCTTTGGTGGACGTGCCCAAGGATTAAGGCCTTCTGGGAAATGATATTAATAAACTGAAAAAGGTATTTAAATATACCTTCTTGAAGAAACCAGAGGCCTTTCTTCTGGGCATTGTCGGCCAATTGGTGTCAAAGAAGGACAGAACTTTTTTTATGTACGCTACAACAGCAGCAAGAATACTCATTGCAAAGTATTGGAAGACACAAGAACTACCCACTTTGGAAGAATGGCAGATGAAGGTGATGGACTATATGGAACTGGCAGAAATGACTAGCAGAATCCGAGACCAGGGAGAAGAGTCAGTGGAAGAAGATTGGAAGAAATTTAAAGACTATCTACAGAAATATTGTAAAATTAATGAATGATAGAATGATGTTGGATAGCAATTAAGGGTTCCCAGCTGTAATGCTTTAAGAGAATATGAAAAAAGGGTTATAATTGGGTTAAAATCTAATGGTAAGGATTTGCTGAACCAATGAATTGAAGCGGAATACAAAAAAGGGAGGTATGAGGAGGTCCGGGAAATAAGCTAAAGGAAAATAAGTAATAGAAAATAGGTGTGTTTTTAACTGTTTTTATTTTGTATTTTTCTTTTTCTTTTTCTTTTTTACGGTAATATTTCAAAAATCTTAATATATATTATATATATATATATAAAAAAAGAAACTGAAGCTCTTTCCGCATTCCATGCATTCTTATGGTTTCTCCCCTGTGTGTGTCCGTTGATGTATATTGAGGTGTCCACTCTTACTGAAGCTCTTTCCACATTCCATACATTTAAATGTTTTCTCCCCTGTGTGAATCCGTTGATGTGTCTTAAGGTTTCCATTTCGACTGAAGCTCTTTCCGCACTCAATGCATTTAAATGGTTTCACCCTTTATGAGTACGTTGATGTGTTTTAAGGTCTCCATTCTGACTGAAGCTCTTTCCGCACTCAATGCATTTATATGGTTTTCCCCCTGAGCCAGTTGATGTCTTCTAAGGCTTGCATTGAAACGGAAGCTCTTTTCACATTCCATGCATTAAATGGATTCTCCCCTTTGTGAGTCTGCTGGTGTAATTTAAGGTCTCCTTTTTGACTGAAGCTCTTCCCGCATGCCATACATTCATATGGTTTTCCCCTGCCTGTGTGAGTCCGTTGATGTGATCTAAGGCCTGCATTGAAACTGAAGCTCTTTCCACACTCAATACATTGAAATGGTTTCTCCCCTGTGTGAATCCGTTGATGTCTTCTAAGGTATCCACTATCACTAAAGCTCTTTCCGCACTCCCTACATTTAAAAGGTTTCTCCCCTGTATGAGACCGTTGATGATTTCTAAGGGGTGCACTCCGACTGAAGCTCTTTCCACACTCCATACATTTATATGGTTTTTCACTCATGTGAGTCCGTTGATGTATTCTAAGTCCATCACTCTGACTGAAGCTCTTTCCACACTCCATACATTTATATGGTTTCTCCCCTGTGTGAGTCTGGTAATGTCTATTGAGGTGGCCACTCTGACTGAAGCTCTTTCCACACTCCATACATTTATATGGTTTCTCCCCTGTGTGAGTCTGGTGATGTTTATTGAGGTGTGCACTCTGACTGAAGCTCTTTCCACACTCCATACATTGAAATGGTTTTTCACCCGTGTGAGTCTGTTGATGTGAACTTAAGTGTCCACTCCGACAGAAGCTTTTTCCACACTCCATACATTGAAATGGTTTCTCCCCTGTGTGAATCCGTTGATGTTTTCTAAGGTCTCCACTCTGACTGAAGCTCTTTCCGCACTCTATACATTTATATGGTTTCTCCCCTGTGTGAGACCGTTGATGTTTTCTAAGGTCTCCACTATCACTGAAGCTCTTTCCGCACTCTATACATTTATATGGTTTCTCCCCTGTGTGAGTCCGTTGGTGCATATTGCACTGCCCACTCTGAATGAAGCTCTTTCCACACTCCATACATTTATATGGTTTTTCACCAGTGTGACTTCGCTGGTGTAATTTAAGTTCTGCATTCCGCCTGAAGCTCTTCCTACACTCCATGCATTTAAAAGGTTTTTCACCCGTGTGAATCCGTAGGTGTGAACTTAACTGTCCACTCCGACAGAAGCTTTTTCCACACTCCATACATTTATATGGTTTCTCCCCTGTGTGAATCCGTTGATGATTTCTAAATTCTCCACTCCAACTAAAGCTCTTTCCGCACTCTATACATTGATATGGTTTCTCCCCTGTGTGAATCCGCTGATGTTTTCTAAGGTCTCTACTATCACTAAAGCTCTTTCCGCACTCTATACATTTATATGGTTTCTCCCCTGTGTGAGTCCGTAGATGTGAACTTAAGTGTCCATTCTGACGGAAGCTTTTCCCGCACTCCATGCATTTAAATGGTTTTTCCCCTGTGTGAGTCCGCTGATGTATATTGAGGAATCCTCTCTGACTGAAGTTCTTCCACACTCCCTGCATTGTAATCCTTTCTTGTAAATGTAAATCCACTGATGTGTTCTAAGTTTTCCACTATCAGCGAAACGTTTCCGAAACACCATACTTTTAAATGGTTTCTCCTCTCGGAATCATTGATGTGAGCTATGTGTCCTCATTCAATGAAGCATTTCCCACATTTCCCACATTTTAATTTCTATTCCTCATGAAACGAAAGGTGCCCCATTCCTTGGAATTCTGAATGTCTTCTCCATCACCTTCTGCAGAGTGGGAGGAAAGGAAATCCTGTTTGGGTTTCAAGGAAGAGAACAAAGGGAAAGAGAGCACATCAAGCGCCATTAGCCCCTTCTCTTATATCAACATCTCCTACGTTCCCCGCCTCCTACCCACATTCCCAACTTTTAGGAAATGAAAAAGCAATGTCATCAAATGATAGTAATGCATCACCACCTTTCATAATCCTCAATCATTGCTAATAAAGCAGCATCATCTTGGAATACAGCCTTTTCAAATCAATTGTTTCATCACAGGAAAGGCAGCTGCTCTCTGTCCGTGAACAGGCCCTCTCTTTCTCTGGTTCATCATTCCTTTGGACATTCCCCATCCTCTTCATCATAATCCTCCATCCACCTCTAGATCTTCATGAATCACCTGCACAGTCCCATTGGCCTCAGGAGGTCCATGTGGACCATTATGTGAGGCCCAGGTCTATGTCTTTTCCAGGGACTGTGGTCTGGGTCAGTCAGAGAACTAGTGACAAGGCTTGGTGCTTGGGGTCAGCTGAATGGGTGCTCAGGGAAGCTCCTGTTCTTGGAGATGGACCTCCATCTACATGCCTCAGATTGCATGGAGAGAGCAGGAGAAGCAGAAGAAAAGCAGCTGGCACATCGGAATCCCAGACCCCCACTGCTCCTTACAATAATGATGGGCTGCCTGATCTCGAGCCCATCCTAAAGTGACACTGAAAAAGCTGCATATTAAAGGCAAATGGATAACTGTACTAGTGAAAACTTCAGCCTTGAATATGTCGTGTTGAATTATTGATGGCCTGAAGTTGTGTTATTTCTAGAGACATGAATTCATTCCGCTTCTGTCTCAAATATAGCTATTATATGATGTCATGGGGTGTCATGGGAGCGGTAGTACCTTTGGTGGTCCCCACCCTGCACTCAGCTCTCACCTGTGCCTTCCAGAAGCTGTCAGGATGAATCAGGGGCCACAATCCCAGGAATGGCTTCAACCGGCTGGCAAAACCAGGTGAGGATAGCTGATGGGTCTCAAATCCTTGGGGGGCTGGGCAATTCTGCTGCACCTGAAGTCAAGCCCTGGTGGATGGAGAGGATGAGAAGAACAGTGAATCCCACAGTCTAGAAGGCAGCTTCTGCCCATCCTGCAGAGGAAAGTGAAGGGCAGATGGGATCGTCAACCGGGGAAGGAAGCCCATCGAGAAGGAAAACTCTGGTCCTAAACCTTCACTGCCTCGTGAGTTATGTTCAGGAGAAGAAAAGGCTATGGAGGAAAACCCACACAAATCCAGAGTGGAGTCTCTAAGATGGTTGGATGGTGTCCTGCACACCTTCTTCATTCAACTCCTGCAGCCAAGCTGGTGCCAAACATACTGCTCTGCTTTCCTTGGGACCATATCAGCCGGGCTGAGAAGGGGGTCTTCTTGTCTAGGCAGCCCAGGACCCCCAAACCCACTGCCCAGGCTGGCAGTGCTACAAACACAGCAGTTTCAAGTGGGGAGATGGGCTCAGAGCTGTGAATCAAAGTCTCTCCGATGTGGAACAAGGAAAACAGAAACAAAATTTACATCATAAAGGTAAAGGTAAAGAGACCCCTGACTATTAGGTCCAGTCGTGGCCGACTCTGGGGTTGCGACGCTCATCTCGCTTTATTGGCCGAGGGAGCCAGCGGCATACAGCTTCCGGGTCATGTGGCCAGCATGACTGAGCCTCTTCTGGCGAACCAGAGCAGCGCATGGAAACGCCGTTTACCGTCCCGCCATAGTGGTACCTATTTATCTACCTGCACTTTGACGTGCTTTCGAACTGCTAGGTTGGCAGGAGCAGGGACCGAGTAATGGGAGCTCACCCTGTCACGGGGATTCGAACCGCCGACCTTCTGATTGGCAAGTCCTACGCTCTGTGGTTTAAGCCACAGCGCCACCCGGATCCCATATTTACATCATACAGCACTGTAAAAGTATTCAAAATATTTGTTTTTCGAAGAAAAGACCACAATGTATCATGTGGTCCCTTCAAAGCTAATGAAAGTCTTGTGGCTGGAGCTTTTGGGGGTGCAGGACCAGGAAAGCTCCTGCCGCCATGATCCTTCCAACTGGGATTCAGTCCTCATCATGGGACTGAAATTGAACTGGTTGTGCTGGTTGATGATCTCCAACGGGCCAGAGGTTGAGGGGGAAGCTGTTTCCTGGTTCTGCTGGTTCTCTCAGCGGCTTTGGAGACCTTTGGCCATGGTGTCCTTCTGGACCCTCTAGGGGAGCTGGGGGCCCTGCTATGCAGTGCTTCCCCTCCTTCCTCCTGGGCCATGTCCAGAGAGTGGTGTTGGGGGATGAGTGTTCAGACCCCTGGATGCTTACTTGTGGGGTGCCTCAGGACTCCATTCTCTCCCCCATGCTTTTTACTATCTATATGCAGCCACTGGGAGAGATCATTAGGGGGTTTGGGCTGGGTGTTCACCAGTATGTGGATGATGCCCAGCTCTTCCTTTATTTTTTTCCCCCAAATTTTTTTATTAATTTTCCAAACAATTATACAATTTTCCAAAATACGACAAATTACTTCTTCTTCTTTTTGAACTTCCTTCAGCGTCTCTGACAATCATCCATATTTATAACTGTAGTTACACATTCCTCCTTTCGTATTGCCATTACACTTCCCTTCTCCCACTATTTCCCTTAACAATACTTCTCCGTTTTTACAGTGCCTCTTGAAATCCCACTAGCGTTGTGTTCGCACCACATATGTTTTTCAGATAATCTACAAATTTTCCCCAGTCTTCGATGAACTTTTGGTCTTTGGTATATCTGATTTTTCCCAGTTAATTTATCCAATTCCGCATCGTCTGTCATTTTCAATCTCATTTCTCTTCCTTTCTTTTAAATTGGAACTAGTGAGGATGGTGAATGCCCTGTGTGTCTGTTTGGAGGTGGTTGGAGGATGGATGGCGGCCAACACATTGAGGTTGAATCCTGACAAGTCAGAAATACTGTCCCTGGGGGAGGGTGGGGGCACTCCTGGTCCTGATGGGGTAACTGTGCCCCTGAAGGACCAGGTGTGCAGCCTGGGGGTCACCGCCTTCTGGGATCCATTTGTGAACAGAATGTGTGAGTCAACTCTTTTTATACTTTTATAGAAGACTGTGTCGTGTCTATCTTTTTATGAGGGACTAAAGTGGAAATTACCAAGGAAACTTATTTTAGAGGATTTAGCGAGCCTAAGCAAACGCATCCGCTGTAAGTTTAAAAGGGGGAATGTTACTCTGCTAAATTGTACAGGCATAGAAAAGTACGGATCTAAGTACAGCGATAATTCCTAACCTATCGGTTCAAGGAAGTTCTGGTAGTTTTACTCTGCATGATTCAAAGCTGGTGTTTTCTCTAGATCATGGGGAGGCAAACTAAGGCCTGGGGGTATAAATGTGATGATGATGATGATGATGATGATGATGATGATGATGATGATCTTGTGGGGTTTTTAAAAGTTATTTTGGAATTTGTACTGCTATATCAGCTCACAAAATGTTATAGGTGGAGAAAATCACAGGGTTGCTGTAAAATATAATCCCACCCACGACTTCTCATTCATATACAATCTGTAAATTTGGGGAGGTCACACACCTCACCTGTGCTAATACTCGCAGTCTTTGGCCTCCACAGGCACACCCGGTGTGTAGAGCCTCCAGCCACAGGCACTGTCTATCCTGAAAAGGGGTCCTTTGACTGGGAAGATGACACGCAGCATAAATTAATAATGCAGAGTTTTAAAGAATAAAAGCTTTACTGAATTAAAAGAAGCTTCTTCAAAAACAACATGGTTCCAAACAGTTTGACTGAGATTGCATACAGACTCTGCTCACGGCTGAGACAGACAGACTCTTGCTGAAATCTTACAGAGAGCACAATGTGCAACTGGCTACTACGTCACATGTCAGAATGACTCCACAGTTAGCAGTTAAGCCTGAATAAATTGAGGAGGCCCAAATGACTGTGCAGTCCCTGCACTTCCCAGCCTGCTTGGCTGCTTCTGCTCTCATGTGTCTTTGTCACGTGACAAAAGATTCATGCAGTCGCTGTCATCGGATGCTGATGGATTGTATCTCAGCTTGTCAGTCACTCTGACATTGGCTACAAAGAATAAGAGGAACAGAAATGCTTTTGACGTGCAACCTCAGTATCAATCCTGAGCGCCATTCCATGGACTCTGCACCCCTGTTTCTGAGGACAGGTGTACATTATCCTCATCCCCAGTGGAAAAGACAATCAAGATGGAAGCCTGAGAGAGAGGAAAAGGTTTCTGGCTGCTTCCTGGGTGGGATGGCGGAAACCAAGAGCCGCTTCTGAGAAGGCCTCTCCCCTCCTCTCTTGTCACAGCTAAAAATTGGCCGCTGTTTCTTTAATGCTTAAAAAGCTGCGGGTTGTATATATAGAGTGAGAAATGTTAGTTTGGGGTTGGGTTGGTTGGTTGGTGAAAGCTGGCAGTGTTGATGTGTGTACAGTTGGTCAGTCGCTTTTGCAGAAAGACTTTTGAGAAGACAGTGGTACCTCGGGTTAAGTACTTCATTCGTTCCGGAGTTCCATTCGTAACCTGAAACTGTTCTTAACCTGAAGCACCACTTTAGCTAATGGGGCCTCCCACTGCCGCTGCACCACCACCACAATATTTCTGTTTTCATCCTGAAGCAAAGTTCTTAACCTGAGGTATTATTTCTCAGTTATCAGAGTCTGTAACCTGAAGCGTCTGTAACCCGAGGTACCACTGTAAAAGCAGAAAGTACTCTGCAAGGATGCTCTTCTCGTGGACTCTTTCATGCTGACAAGGGCCCAAGGACCAGGCTGAGGCGACCAAGGGAGGCCAGAACCTTCTCTTTTCTTTTCACAAATACTGACATCTCTTCCTCTGGACTTCCTCTCCTCTCCAGGGGACCAAGGAATGGACTGGGCAGAATCGCTGTGTCTGGACAGGGCAGGGGCTTATGGGGCAGGAAGAGGATGGAGATTGCGGGAAGGAAGGGTGGGGGGGGCAGGACCCCCACTTTCCAGGGATCCCTCTCTGGTCGCCTTGAAGGGGGGGTCGATTACTGGGGGGCAGAGAGAGGCCAAGGCTGTTCCACCAGAGATCCCCCGCAGCTGCCACAATGGAGACGCGATATCTCCCCCCCCCCCGCCAATGCTGCCCTTCCCTGTCCCAGGGATGCTCCTCTCCCTCCCCCCCCCAATTTCCTTGACCCCATCCCTCTCTCCCGGAGTCTCCCCTGCATCCAGAGGCTCCCTTGGCTCTGCTCACCCCACACCCTGCGCCCCCATCTCTCCAGCCGGAGGCGCCCCCCCCCCGAGAAGATGGGAGGGACAGGGGGTCTCTATCCAGGCGTCTCTCGCGCCGCTTAACCCTTTCATGGGCCGCTTTTCTCCACGCAGAGCCAGGGGAGACGGGTGAGGGGTCCGCCCTGCGAGGAAAGCAGGGCGGACCCCAGGAAAGCCTGGGGGCGCTTGGGGGAGCTGGAGGGGGTCTCTGGGTCCTTTCCCCCCCCTCTCCGCCCCCCCCCGCGACTCCTTTACCTCTTTCTCCTCGCTCCCGATTTTCCTTTCCTGCAACTTCCACGGGGGGGGGGGTCCCCTGCCTCCTCCCTCCCCTTTCCGAAAGCGCCCCCCCCCAGCTATGGGGCAGAGCAGCAATCCGGAGTGGAAGCTCCACTTCCGGGAGAAGCAGGCAGGCCGGGAGGGGGGCTCCCCGCCCCACATTTCTGGAGCAGAAACCGGATTGGAGGAGGAGGAGCAATGTATTGGGGGTGTGATTTGGGATTGTGTGGGCGGGATGAGAGAAGGATGTGCCGGGAGGGGAGGGAAAGTGTGGAGCGGGTGGGGGGGGGGGAGAAGGAGGAGGAGAAACCCCCCCCCCCGTCTTCCTTCTGGGGATCAGGAGAGGGGGGAGGGGCTGATCCCGGCAATCCAACAGCGAAGTCACAAAATGAGTTCTGCATTTAAATCAGATCAGACTCCGAGTTCGTGTTTTGGCAACATGACAGGTCTGTCCGTCGGGATGCCTGAGGATTCCTGCTCGCTGCCTTTTCCTGGCCAGCCTGAGAGATCACTGGAAAGGGAGGATTTCTTGACTCCAGAATCCATCATCGCAGACCCGTTTCATTCAGGCCTAGAGATCTGCTCTTTGGACGAGTCTGCTTGGATCATGTGGATCATCAATGGATCATATGAATCATCACTGGATCATCCATGATGTTATACCCGTCTCACGGATGGGGGGGCTCAGGATGAATCTCCTGCCACGTGACTGGGGGAGTCTGGAGGCGGACGGGGGGTCAGACAGGGCTGCTCTTTTGCTCTCCTTACTATTTCAGCTCAGGTTTTACTGAAATGGGTGGATTCATTGAGGAAACGGGGCTACGTTGCAAAGAGGCAAATGTGTGTACTTTGTAACCACCCAGTGAGTTGTGTTGCAAAGGCCATTTGCAGAAAGGCTCCTATTGTATCACCTGCGGCTACATGCCGGAGTCTGGGTGTTTTGTGGAAATGTGTCTCTATAAATGCACTTATCCCCGTGCATTTATAATGGCAAGACATTAAATCCCATGAGATGTGCAAACTGGCTGCTTTTGGAAGCACCACTCTGCAGCCCTGCCTGATGCACGCTTACTTAGGAGTAACCCCTACGTGGTTCAAAGGGATTTGCCATTCCATCTGATGCACGCTTACTCAGAAGTAAGTCCCCATAGTCGCCTTTGGCTGGACTTGACCAGCCAGGGGTCCTTTACCTTGGGTAACAGGGGCCAGCCCCCTGCTGCAGCCCCAGCCCCTGCTGGCTGGTCACATCTTCCACGCCAAGAAACTGGGCAGAGCCTTTAGGAGCCTCTGGCTGAACCTGCTGCTCTTCTCCCTAGCACCGCCATCTCCACGCAGGTGCCCCCTAGGCAGATGGGCCTGCAGTTCCCCTCAGTGCCAGCCAGCACGATGCCTGCACTCAGAAAACCTGGAGGGCACTGGCTGAAGTCTGGGAGCCCTCGGTGCCAATGCGCAGCTGCTTTGCTTTTACTTCGCCTGGCGGACATCAACACAGCACCCTACAGGGGGGTGGTCTCTTGTTCAGATGCCCCCCCTGGGGAAGAGTCGTTGGCCACAGGAAAGTGTGCCAGGAGGGGCCATTGAGAGGGCAGAACAGCACAGCCAGTGGGGCGAGTGCCTTCCTTGGGTGGGGTGGGGGGAGCTTGGATGGCCCCCTGCCTGTGATGCTTAGCTGAGATTCCTGCTATGCTGGGGGTTCAACTAGATGACTCAGGAGGGCCCTCCCTACTTTACAGTTAGAAGCCCCCGCACTGCCCACTCCACACCACCCAGATGGGACTCTCTTGTCCAACCCCACAAGGCCATTCCTCTGTCTGGACGGGGAGGGGGAGATAAGGTTCGCCAGCACTGCAGCCCCTAACTTCCCCTCCCCACGTTTCAAGCTGGGGCAGAGATGCAGATGCTCCAGGGTCTGGGCTGGCCACAGGCACCCATGGGCGTGGATGTTGAGCCTTTCTTTGGGAGGGGGGTGTTACAGAAAAATCTAGGTGCCAGGCTGCTCAGTCCCCCAGCTCGTCGGGCTGAGCCTGCGGGTCCCTGCGGAATAAAGGGAGGAGTCCAGCCAACCGGAGCAAAGAAAGAGAGATTGCAAGGAGAGAGATTGCAAGGAGCTCCAAAGGGACTTCTCCAAACGGGGTGAATGGGCCGAAAAGACAGTTCATTGTCAATGAGATTAAAGTGATGCATGTTGGGACAAAAAAAACCCTACACCCATTAATATAATGTACAGGCTCATGGGTCTGAATTGGATTTCTCTGTGTGCTCTGGGCCACCTCATGAGAAGAGAAGACTCCCTGGAAAAGACCCTGATGTTGTGAAAGATGGAGGGCGCAAGGAGAAGGGGACGACGGAGGACGAGATGGTGGGACAGTGTTCTTGAGGCTAGCGGCATGTCCATGGGGTCACGAAGAGTCGGATACAACTAAACGACTAAACAACAACAAGTGTGCTCTGGGAGACCAGGGGAGATGGGAGCTGGTCACAGCAGGAGGGGGAGTCTCCCTGGATGCTTCAGCAGCCGGCCTCCTCTGGGTCTCCTGGCCCCCCTCCTCTGAGTCTGAACTGCTCTCTGCCCCAGCCTCTTCCTGCTCACCAAACCCTGTTTCCTCCTCAGCTTGCAACACCTCCCCTCTCGTTCTGCTCCCTTTCCTCCCTCTTTCTGCTCACTGCCATCCCACCACAAGTCCCCAGGATCTAAGCCTTCTTCCCTTGTAGGTCCCCCAACTGGTGCCTCCCCCCCCCCGCACCCAGCTGTTCCATGACAGCAAAAGCAGAAACAACAGTAAAATCAGTATGATAGCAATATGATCTGTGGCCCTCTGGTAGGAAAACTCTCTTGCAGCATGTCTGAATAAAAACTTCTGGGACTATGGAAAAATACTACCTTCTCCAAACCCCAGAATAAGGAGGAGCTCTGGGGTTGCCCCATGGGGTTCAAGAGTGAAGATGGGCCCATCAGGAGACTTCCCTGGTCCCTGCAGCCCCTCCGTTCCCCTCTTGCAATTAGGCTTGGGGGGAAATCACCCATTAACTTACAGTATTATCAGTTTTCTTCAGAATGCTTAGGAGGCAGGGATGAAGTTTGGGTGAAGAAGCAGTGCTTGGAGATCATGCGTTGGGGGGATGACAGAGTTTGGTGCAAAAACCGTCTTGCATGCTTGAGTAGAGCAACTCCAGGGCATGGGCCAAGTAGCAGCAGGGTAGGGGCCACGTGCAGAGCAAGTCCCACACTGAGGTCAAAAACACACACAGAGGCAGCAGGAATTCTTCAGTAATAGTTTACTGAGCTTTCAAAGCATACAGTTCTCACTGGGTCCCCAGTGAGGCACAAAACTTAGCTCCTGAGAGCAAATCCAGTTTCAGCAATAGAAAAATACAGCTCACAGGATATCCAAGTCAGGCACACAAACCGGCAGAAGGGAGCAAAGGGAGGAAAGAGGCTGGAAGGACACAGGGCGATGGAATGTGCGACTTTCGCTTCCTGTCGTCTGGGAGGGAAGTCAGCAACTCGGCATCTGCAGGGGCTTCACGAAGAAAAGCTTTCTGCCAGCTGCTTCCAGGCAAATGAGCATCCCAGAAATCCAGATTCATCAACTCCCCCTCACTATCAAAAGGTACCTTACATCTAAAATTATACTCACTAGAGTGAGACGTTACCTTCATTATTTCATTACTATACAGTTTTACATATAAAGAGCAGAACCTCAAATACATGACATGCTTTTAAGATGGATTTCCTGCTGAGTTCATTGCTGTGAAGAAAAGAGTGGACTCTGAAAGGAACATGTCCCACACTCCATACATCTAAATGGGTTCTCCCCTCTGAGTCCTTAGATGTTCCTCAAACACTCCATTATAACTAAAGCACTTTCTGCAATCTTTCCCTTTAAACAGCTTCTCCTCTTTGAGGGTTGATGGGTTTGTAGGGTGTCAACTGTTAAAGTTCTTCCTGTCCATGAGTCTGTTGATGTAGGACTTCCACTAGGACTGAACCTCTGTCTACTTGACATTTATATGGTTTCTCTCATGTGGGAGTTTGTTGATGTAAATCAAGGGTTCCACTCAGACTGAAGCTCCTTCCAAACTCCATACATTTAAATGGTTTCTCCCCTGTGTGAGTCAGATGATGTCTTCTAAGGCTTGCATTGAAACTGAAGCTCTTTGTATTGATGGAAGAGATGCATAAAGACCAAGCGGGCTTTCTCCCGGGAAGACACTTGTCTGATAATTTGAGGAACATAATTGATATTTTGGAAAAACCTTTGGAAGGCCTTCTGGGAAATGATATATAATGAACTGAAAAAGGTATTTAAATATACCTTCTTGAAGAAACCAGAGGCCTTTCTTCTGGGCATTGTCGGCCAATTGGTGTCAAAGAAGGACAGAACTTTTTTTATGTACGCTACAACAGCAGCAAGAATACTCATTGCAAAGTATTGGAAGACACAAGAACTACCCACTTTGGAAGAATGGCAGATGAGGGTGATGGATTACATGGAACTGGCAGAAATGACTAGCAGAATCCGAGACCAGGGAGAAGAGTCGGTGGAAGAAGATTGGAAGAAATTTAAAGACTATCTACAGAAATATTGTAAAATTAATGAATGATAGAATGATGTTGGATAGCAATTAAGGGTTCCCAGCTGTAATGCTTTAAGAGAATATGAAAAAAGGGTTATAATTGGGTTAAAATCTAATGGTAAGGATTTGCTGAACCAATGAATTGAAGCGGAATACAAAAAAGGGAGGTATGAGGAGGTCCGGGAAATAAGCTAAAGGAAAATAAGTAATAGAAAATAGGTGTGTTTTTAACTGTTTTTATTTTGTATTTTTCTTTTTCTTTTTCATTTTTACTGTAATATTTCAAAAAATCTTAATAAATATTATATATATAAGAAAAGAAACTGAAGCGCTTTCGCATTCCATGCATTCTTATGGTTTCTCCCCTGTGTGTGTCCGTTGATGCCTATTGCGGTGCCCACTCTGACTGAAGCTCTTTCCACATTCCATACATTTAAATGTTTTCTCCCCTGTGTGAATCCGTTGATGTGTTTTAAGGTTTCCATTTCGACTGAAGCTCTTTCCGCACTCAATGCATTTAAATGGTTTCTCCCCTGTGTGAGTCTGGTGATGTTTATTGAGGTGTCCACTCAGACTGAAGCTCTTTCCACACTCCATACATTTATATGGTTTCTCCCCTGTGTGAGTCCGTTGATGTATTCTAAGGTTTCCAATCTGAATGAAGCTCTTTCCACACTCCATACATTGAAATGGTTTTTCGCCCGTGTGAGTCCGTTGATGTGAACTTAATTGTCCACTCCGACAGAAGCTTTTTCCACACTCCATACATTGAAATGGTTTCTCCCCTGTGTGAGTCCGTTGATGCATATTGCACTGCCCACTGTGAATGAAGCTCTTTCCACACTCCATACATTTATATGGTTTTTCACCAGTGTGACTTCGCTGGTGCAATTTAAGTTCTGCATTCTGCCTGAAGCTCTTCCCACACTCCATGCATTTAAAAGGTTTTTCACCCGTGTGAATCCGTAGGTGTGAACTTAACTGTCCACTCCGACGGAAGCTTTTTCCACACTCCATACATTGAAATGGTTTCTCCCCTGTGTGAATCCGTTGATGTATTCTAAGGTCTCCACTCTGACTGAAGCTCTTTCCGCACTCTATACATTTATATGGTTTCTCACCTGTGTGAATCCGTTGATGTTTTCTAAGGGCTCCACTATCACTGAAGCTCTTTCCGCACTCTATACATTTATATGGTTTCTCCCCTGTGTGAATCCGTTGATGTTTTCTAAGTTCTCCACTATCACTAAAGCTCTTTCCGCACTCTATACATTTATATGGTTTCTCTCCTGTGTGAGTCCATTGATGTTTTCTAAGTTTTCCATTATTAATAAAGCTCTTTCCACACGCCAAACATTTATATGGTTTCTCCCCTGTGTGAGTCTGTTGATGTCTTCTAAGGTGTCCACTATCACTAAAGCTCTTTCCGCACTCCAGGCATTTAAATGGTTTCTCCCCTGTGTGAGTCTGTTGATGTCTTCTCAGGTTTCCATTGAAACTGAAGCTCTTTCCACACTCCAAACATTTATATGGTTTCTCCCCTGTGTGAATCCTCTGGTGCAATTTAAGATTACTATTCTGACTGAAGCTCTTTCCGCACTCCATACATTTAAATGGTTTCTCCCCTGTGTGAGTTTGTTGATGTCTTCTAAGGGTTGCATTGAAACTGAAGCTTTTTCCACGCTCCTTACATTTAAATGGTTTCTCCCCTGTGTGAGCCCGTTGATGTCTTCTAAGGCTTCCACTATCACTAAAGCTCTTTCCACATTCCATGCATTGAAATGGTTTATCCCCTGTGTGAGTCCGTTGATGTCTTCTAAGGCTTCCACTATCACTAAAGCTCTTTCCACACTCCGTACATTTATATGGTTTCTCCCCTGTGTGAATCCTCTGGTGCAATTTAAGATTACTATTCCGACTGAAGCTCTTTCCGCACTCCATACATTTAAATGGTTTCTCCTCAGTGTGAGTTTGTTCATGTTTTCTACGGTTTCCATTCTGACTGAAGCTCTTTCCACACTCCATACATTTAAAAGGTTTCTCACCTGTATGTGTCCGTTGATGTAAAGTTAAGTGTCCCCTCTGACTGAAGTTCTTTCCACACTCTGTGCATTGAAATCGTTTCTTGCCCATGTGAGTCCGCTGATGTCTTCTAAGTTTTCCACTATCAGTGAAACTTTTTCCACTCTCCATACCTTTAAATGGTTTCTCTCCTGTTTGAGTTCATTGATGTGAGATATGTGTGCTCATTCAGTGAAGCATATTCCACATTTCACACTTTTTAATGGCTATTCCTAATGAAACGAAAGGTTCCCCATCTCCAGGAATTCTGACTGTCTTCTGTATCACCTTCTTCAGAATGGGCAGAAAGGCAATCCTATTTTGGTTTCAAGGAAGAGAACAAAGGGAAAGAGAACACATCAAATGCCATTAGCAGCTTTTCTTATTTCAACATTTCCTATATTCCCCCGTCTCCTACCCATGTTCCCAGTTTTTAGGAAATGAAGATGCAATGATGTCAAATGATAGTAATGCATCACCACCTTTCATAATCCTCAATCATTGTTAATAGCGCAGCATGATTTTGGAATACAGCCTTTTCAAATCAATTGTTTTCTCACAGGAAAGGCAGCTGCTCTCTGTCCATGAAGAGGCCCCCCTTTTCTCTGGTTCATCGTTCCTTTGGACATTTCCCATCCTCGGCATCATAATCCTCCATCCACCTCTCTCTCTCTCTCTCTCTCTTTTTAATCAGTTTTTACTGATTTTCATTATTACACATACACATAGAATACATACACTCATTATACATTTATCCATCCACCTAAGCCTTAAGCTCTGCCGAGCTTCGGATTTCCCTCCATCTCTTCAGTAAGTATCATATAGTTATAACATCACGTATTCTATTTAATACTATTTTGTCTTATGCCGTTAGAGTTACTCCAACCCTGCCAGTGTCTTTAAAGTTTTACCATTTTCTCTTACATATACCAAATATTTACTCCAATTTTCAACAAACTTCTTTTCATCTTGGTCCCGTATTTTTCCTGACAATCTAGCCAATTCTGCGTAATTCATCATTTTGGTCTGCCATTCCATGATTCTAGGTAGAGTATCAGTTTTCCAGTTCTGGGCCAACATAGTTCTAGCTGCTGTCGTGGCGTACAAGAAAAGATTTTTATCCTTCTTTTTAATTTCCTTCCCTTTCAATACCAATAAAAAGGCTTCAGGTTTTTTTAGAAAAGATTTTTTTGTACTTATATATATATTTATTTATTATAAATATTTTTTATTAATTTTCCAACATACATTTATACTATCCAATCTAAATTTATCACATATTTTCTCTTTTGGACTTCCTTCAGCCTCTCTAACAATCATCCATTATTCAATTTTCACCCTCTTATTTTTCTTCTACACAATATTCCTCAAACATTCACAGAGCTTTTTGAAATCCCACTAGCGTTGTTTGCTCATCACATATACATTTCAAATAATCTGAAAATTTCCCCAATCCTCGATGAACTTTTGGTCTCGTAGATATCTGATCTTCCCCGTTAGTTTATCTAGTTCTGCATAGTCCATCAGTTTCATTCTCCATTCTTCTAACGTCGGTAGTTGTTCCTGTTTCCATTTTTGGGCCAGTAGTATTCTCGCTGCAGTTACTGCGTATTGGAAAAGTTTACAGTCCTTTCTATTTATCTCATTTCCTACTATTCCTAAAAGAAAAGCCTCTGGTTTCTTAACAAATGTATATTTCAACATCTTTTTCAACTCATTATATATCAGTTCCCAGAAACCCTTCACCTTCTTGCAATCCCACCACATATGGTAAAATGTTCCCTCTTTTTCTTTACATTTCCAACACTTATTACATGTTTTATACATTTTTGCCAATTTTACGAGTGTAATATACCATCTATAAACCATTTTCATCACATTTTCCTTTAACGCAGTGCATGCCATAAATTTTATATTTTCATTCCATAATTTTATCCAGTCATTGAACTGTATATTACAACCCAAATCTCTGGCCCAGTGTATCATAACCGATTTAACTTCCTCGTCTTTTGTATACCATTCCAGCAACATTTTATACATTTTAGATAAAATTTTGTACTCATTATTTATTATTTCCATTTGAAATTTTGATTCTTTTTCATCAAAACCTCTTTCTTTAAAATCCTTTTAAAACATTTCATTAACCTGATAATAATACAGCCAATCATATACATGCTCCTTCACATCTTCATAAGGTTTCATTTTCCATTTTCCTGCTTCTTTTACTATCAATTCTTTATATGTAATCCAGTTCCCCCTTAAATTGACTTTCTTGAGACTCATAACTTCTAACGGAGATAGCCAGTGGGGAATTCTTGGTTCTAATAAACCTTTATACCTCTCCCATATTTCTATGAGAGATCTTCTAAAGATGTGGTTTTCGAAACCTTTATGGATTTTTTTCTTCTCACACCATAAATATGGGTGCCAGCCAAATCTGTTATCTAAACCTTCTAAATCTAACAAATCAGTCTTTTTTAACTTTATCCATTCCTTCAATCAACAGAGACATGAAGCTTCATAATATAATTTCAAGTCTGGCAGGGCGAAGCCTCCTCTTTCTTTCACATCCGTTAATAACTTAAACTGAATTCTTACCCTGCCAGATATATCTTGAAATTGCTCTTTTCCATTCTTTAAAGATCACTGTCCCCTTGATTATTGGAATTGTCTGAAACAAAAACAACATCTTTGGCAGCACGCTCATCTTAATCATTGAAATTCTCCCCCAAAAAGATAACTTCATTCGACCCCACACCTCTAGATCTTTCTTTATTCCCTTCCACACTGGCTCATAGTTATTCTGAAACAAATCAAGATTCTTAAGGGTTAACCAGATTTCCAAATGTTTAACTTTTTTCACCACTTCTATCCCTATTTGTTGTTGCATTTGTTTCTATCATACCTTGTTCCATATTTTTTGTAAGTATTTTGGTTTTTTCTTATTTAATATAAACCCTGCCACTTGACCAAATTGTTCAACTTCTTCTAAAACTACTTTTGCACTTTCCAGCGGTTCTTCCACTATTATTACCAGATCATCAGCAAAGGCATTTACTTTATACTGATTCTGGCCTACTGACACACCTTTTATTGCTTCATTTCTCCTTATTGAATTTAAGGAAATTTCCAGAACCATTATGAATAACATTGGTGAGAGAGGGCATCCTTGTCTCGTACCTTTTGATATTTTTAATTCTTCTGTAGTCCTGTTGTTTACAATAAGCTTTGCTCTTTGTTCAGTATATATCACTTTTATTCCATTAAAGAATTCTTTCCCCACTTCCATATATTCTAATTTTTTTAACATAAAGTCCCAAGAAATGTTACCAAAGGCCTTTTCTGCATCCACAAATATTAACGCAGCTTGTTTCTCATTCCTGGCTGTCAGATATTCTAACAAATTAATTATATTCCTTATATTATCTTTCATCTGTCTGCCAGGAAGGAAACCCGCCTGGTCTTTATGAATAATTTCTTGTAATATCTTTTTCAACCTCTTCGCTAAGATACTTGCAAAAATTTTGTAGTCCGTACTTAGCAATGAGATAGGCCTGTAATTTTTAACTTGAGTCAAATCAGAGTCTTGTTTTGGAATTAGTGTAATAAAAGCTTCTTTCCACGTCTCTAGCATTTCTCTATCCTGAAGAATATTGTTCATGACTTCTCTCAGCGGTGTAGACAGGATGTGCCTCATTTCTTTATAATAACTTGCTGTAAATCCATCTGGTCCTGGAGCTTTCCCCTTTTTCAACTCTTTTATGGCTTCTTTAATCTCTTCCATTTCTATAGGGGCGTTCAGCCTTTCTATCTTTTCTGTCGGGATCTTCTGCACCTTTTTTTCTTTTAAAAATCTTTCTGTTTTTCTCATGTTATTTTTCTCTTTACTATTATATAAATGTCTGTAAAAGTCCAAGAATCCTTTTCTGATACCTTTTGGATTAACTATCTCTTCTCCTTCTATGATGATTTTATTTATTGTATTCTGTTCCTTTCTTTTCTTAATTGCTATGCCAGCCATTTGCCTGATTTATTTGCAAATTCAAAGTTCCTTTGTCGCAATTTTTTTTATATTCTACTCCACTTCTTTATTTATTATCATAGCAAATTGTGTTTGCAGAGCTTTTATATTCTGTTTTATTTTCAAATTGTCTGGTTTCTCAATTAATTTTTGTTCATTGTGCATTATTTGTCTTAAAATTTCCTTCTTGCCTTTCGCTCTGCTTTTATTTTTTATTGAATTCTGTTGGATAAAAAATCCTCTCATCACCGCCTTGCTGGCATCCCACACTACATTCATTTTTGTACCCTTACTACAATTGTTCATTAAAAACTCCACCAGCTTCTTTTGTGCCCCCTCTAAAAGATTTTGATCAACTAGAAGGTAATCATTAATTCTCCATCTGAATGATCTTTCTTCGTAACCTCTTATTTCACATTTGATTGGATTATGATCTGAGATCACTCTTGGTTGAATTTCAACTTGCATGATTCTTGGAGTTAATTCATTAGATACCCATATTTGATAGATTCGCGACATTGACTGATTCGATTCTGAATAAAACGTAAACTGTTTGTCAAGTGGATGTCTCAGTCTCCAAATAAAAAAATTCCTTCCAGTAGCACCTTAAAGACCAACTAAGTTAGTTCTTGGTATGAGCTCATACAAAGAACTAACTTAGTTGGTCTTTAAGGTGCTACTGGAAGGAATTTTTTTATTTTGACTATGGCAGACCAACACGGCTACCTATCTGTAAGTCTCCAAATGTCTATTAAGTTACAATTCTTAATCATTGAGGGGGAAAATCTTTGGTAGTTTTCCCGCTTTACTCATTCCTGATGCTCTCAGTCTATCCATTTCCATTGACACTACTCCATTCATATCTCCCATTATTATAATCTCTTGGTCCATATAATCAAACAGTTTTTCTTCCAAATCTTTATAAAAATCAGTCTTGTTTCCATTTGGTGCATAGATCCCGACTGTTATTATTTTTTCACCTTGCCACTTGATCTGGAATGCAATTATTCTTCCTTCTTCATCTTTGAAAATTTGCTGAGCTTCAATTTTATTTCTTATATAAAATATTCCCCCTCTCTTTTTGTTTTTGTCTGACGATATAAATTCATTTCCTAGTCTTTTGTTGATCAAAACTCTTCTATGTCTTCTCGCCACATGTGTCTCTTGTAAACATATTATATCCAAATTTTCCTTTTTTAGATATTGTTCAATTTTATGCCGTTTTTTCCTATCGTTCATCCCATTAATATTCCAATTCCATAATTTTAACACCATCTTGGTATCCTAATTAATTA